TGTAATATTTAGTAATCTTGTATTCATAAATACAGTAAAAGGGGAATAACTTTGGCTGAGAATGCATCAGAATTTTTATCAAAAAAATATATCCCGTATTAGTGCGGTAGCTGATGATAATAATTTATATTGTTATTATCTGGTCCATGGTGGAAAAGCATCAGATTTAATTTACTACTTTACTCTGTCTTGTTTGTAAATTTACTTCTGGAGAATTCATTCATTCTGTGCTTTAGCTTTAATTTTTTGTATTTTGTCATTTAATTTAAGATGATCATTCTTACATTCTGTCCTTCCTTACATCCTTCTATTTCTACTACTAGGGCAGATTTTTTTCAAAATGAATGTTTCTTCTAAATTTTTTTCTTACCACCATGTAATTTCATTTTATCTTCTCTTCTCCATTTTACATATCTAATTGTTATTGCAGTGTTTTAAATATGTATTCAATCTAGTTTCCTTTTCGCAAAAAAGATATTTCTTGTCCATCATGTACTTTGCTCTGCGCCATATTTTAGTCTGAGTTTGTGCACAAAGCATTTTTTTCTAATATGGATCCGCTCTAGTTTCCTTTTCATAATCAATTTCAGTAAAAAATTTCTTTAGGGTCCACCTCTTTATAATCTATACTCCCAAATGCAGTATTTTATTAGTTCCTCATAAATGACACCGATTTCCAAATTAAGCGTCAAAAAGTCTTCTGGTGTAATTATAAAGACTTCTTTTCCTAATATGAATCCGCGCCAGTTTCCTTTTCATAATAAATTCAGTAGAGTCCCTTCTTATTTTACTCTTTTTAAATATTGTTTTATATATCCCTCAGTCTATCCAATTTATCTTCTCCAGCACCATATCTAAATAAAACTCTCCAAGAGGCTTTTTTTCAGCTTTCTTTAGAGTCCAAAAAAAGAAAAAAAACGTCTAATCCATGCTTCAAAAGTAGTATTTTATCAGTGACATCGATTTCCAAATTAGGCGTCAAAAAACCTGGTTTAATTATAGAGTACTGTTTTCCTTCCTCAGTAGTCCTTTTTTCCTTCTCTAGCACCTATAACTATAAAAAACTATCAAAGAGGCTTTTGCCGGCTTTCTTTATAGTCCATGTCTCTAATGCATGTTCCAATGTAGAATTTTATCAGTTTCTAATAAATGACATCGAAATAAAATCTTCCGGTTTAATTATAAGGCCTCTTTTCCGAAAATGGATCCGTGCCAGTGTCCTTTCATAATCAAATTCAGTAAAGCCCCTTTTTCTTTTACTCTCTTGTTTCATTTATTCCCCAGTGATCAATTTTATCTTCTCCATATCAAAAAAAACTCTCCAGGTAGATTTATCAGCTTTCTTTAGAGTCCATGTCTCTAATTCATGCTGCAATTGTAGTATTTTAAGAGTTGATCATAAATGAAATTTATTTCCAAATTAGGCGTCAAAAAAGTCTCTGGTTTAATCATAAAGACCTCTTCTCCTAATATGAATCCGTGCCAGTTTCCTTTTCATAATCAAATTCAGTAGAGACCCTTCATCTTTTACTCACTTTAAGGATTCCTATATCTAAAAAACTATCCAGGTAGCTTTTGTCAGCTTTTTTTAGAATCTATGTTTCTAATCCATGCTGCAAATGTAGTATTTCAATTAATTGATAAATTATTATCAATTTCCAAATTAGGCGTAAAAAAGTCTTCTGGGTTAATTATAAAGACCCCTTTTCCAAATATGAATCCGAGCCAGTTTCCTTTTCATATTCAAATCCAGTAGAGCCCTTTTTAATATCACTTTTTTTAATGTTATCTCATTTATTCTCCAGAAGTCCCTTTTATCTTCTTCTGCACCATATCTAAAAAAAACTCTCCAGGAGGCTTTTGTCAGCTTTCTTTAGAGTCCATGTCTCTAATTTATGCTCCAAATGTTGTATTTTATCAGTTCCTCATAAATGACATAGATTTCAAAATTAGGCGTCAAAAAAGTCTTCTGGTTTAATTATAAAGACCTCTTCTCCTAATATGAATCCGCGCCGGTTTCCTTTTCATAATCAAATTCAGTAGAGACCCTTTATCTTTTACTCACTTTAAGGATTCCTATATCTAAAAAACTATCCAGGTAGCTTTTGTCAGCTTTTTTTAGAATCTATGTTTCTAATCCATGCTGCAAATGTAGTATTTCAATTATTGATAAATTATTATCAATTTCCAAATTAGGCGTAAAAAGTCTTCTGGGTTAATTATAAAGACCCCTTTCCAAATATGAATCCGAGCCAGTTTCCTTTTCATATTCAAATCCAGTAGAGCCCTTTTTAATATCACTTTTTTAATTTATCTCATTTATTCTCCAGAAGTCCCTTTTATCTTCTTCTGCACCATATCTAAAAAAAACTCTCCAGGAGGCTTTTGTCAGCTTTCTTTAGAGTCCATGTCTCTAATTTATGCTCCAAATGTTGTATTTTATCAGTTCCTCATAAATGACATAGATTTCAAAATTAGGCGTCAAAAAAGTCTTCTGGTTTAATTATAAAGACCTCTTCTCCTAATATGAATCCGCGCCGGTTTCCTTTTCATAATCAAATTCAGTAGAGACCCTTTATCTTTTACTCACTTTAAGAATTCCTATATCTAAAAAACTCTTCAGGAGGCTTTTGTCAGCTTTTTTTAGAGTCTATGTCTCTAATCCATGCTGCAAATGTAGTATTTCAATTAATTGATAAATTATTATCCATTTCCAAATTAGGCGTAAAAAAGTCTTCTGGGTTAATTATAAAGACCCCTTTTTCAAATATGAATCCGTGCCAGTTTCCTTTTTATATTCAAATCCAGTAGAGCCCTTTTTAATATCACTTTTTTTTAATGTTGTCTCATTTATTCTCCAGAAGTCCCTTTTATCTTCTTCTGCACCATATCTAAAAAAAACCCTCCAGGAGGCTTTTGTCAGCTTTCTTTAGAGTCCTTATCTCTAATCCATGCTCGAATTGTATTATTTAAGCAATTCCTCATAAACGACGTCGATTTTCAAATTGGGCGTCAAAAAAGTCTTCCTGGTTAAATTATAATTGAGTTGGTCTTAATTAGAACATTCTTTTTAAGGAAACCGTTTGTAAATAGGACATGAGATTGTTGATATTGATTAAATAAAAATATATAATTTTTAGGATAACTCTTTATGTTCACCAGCCACCCGACTAATATTGTTTATATTTCGTCGCCAATAAAATTGATAACACTCTCATAGTCGTTAAAAATGGGATTTACAATTTCAAATCGAAATCTCAGTATAAAACCATCCAAAACACTGCCGGAAAACATCAGAAATCTCAGTAAACCGATACAGCCCAGTAGTGCGCTCATCGAAACAAAAAAACATCAGTAATATTTTTATACTTCTATAAAAAATGTTGAAATAATCATCGCTCTGTTCGCCGTCCTCCTGGTCTGCGATGCTGGTCCATTGTTCCTGGAAATCGCCTATGACGAAGAAGGAAAGCAATATGGCCTGCTGCCACTGGAGGATTACATAGGGAACCTGTGGAAGTATTTCAGCAGACCAGGCAGAAAGACAGTCGGTATCAGTGGACGCCAAACCTGGCGCCTTGGGAGGAACCAGGGTAAATATAATAGATACTTATAAAAAAATTAATGATTTTTAACTTGTCCTAGGGTAAGTTATAGTAATCGCAAAAAAATCGAAAATGAAAATTTTTATATATCTTTACGTTTAGAGGTTTCTGAATATTTTGGCATACCTTAGAAGAAATGGATGTATGTGTGTGTGCGTGTGTGTATGTGTGGTTGTGCAGATACAAATTTTCGTCGACGATTTCGGGAACACCGATCAACCGATTTGAATAATTTAAAAATCATTCGATTCGTATTGATAAGAAGACGTGCTGATTAGTTTTTGGTGAAGGCAGGTCTAACAGGTCTTAGTTCCGAAGATACGAAGCAAAAAGTGCCAAAAATGGTAACTCAGTTTTTAAAAAAACGGAGCGATTTTAATAATTCAAAAAACATTTTACTTGTATTGACAAGATGAAGAATTGATCAAATTTTCATGAAGCCAGGTCTAGCGGTTTCGGAAATCTAATAAAAAAAGTAAAAAAAATGCCATTTGGCGGTCAAAAATGATCTTAAACATATGCACGTCAAATTATCAGATATTTTATAGAGATTTTAACAATAAGTATAATTTTTTTACATTTCTAAGGGTTCCGTACCAATGTGTACGCGTTAGACGGCGACCCGGCGCTTACGCGCTTCGATATTTCGTTTTTACGCAGTTAAAGCAGTACGATTGCTTTGAAAAAAGTTCAGAATTTCCAAAATATTTCAAAATAAATTTTTCTTCAAAAAAAGTAAGTTTTTGTCAAAATTTATAGCTTCCAAAAATCTAATTTTTTCAGAGTAATTTTTTTTTCAAAAATGTTAATCTTTTTAAAAAAAATAATTTTTGGTACGGGAAATTCCAGTAATTTTCCTTAAGGCACGATGCCATGCGCCCCACTAGTTTGCATTTAGTTACGTGTATGTGACGTTTTTGTTATGTTAGTGTAATAAATGTGGATATATACTGTTGGGTACTAGAAATCCGGACAGCCATACGAAATAAAGTAAAGTAATACAGAAGTGTCATTTTCAATGAGTTCTACAGAACGCACCATTTGTGCTAAAGTGTAGTAAATTTAGTATGTTATTCTTGAAAGTGTCTATTGTGATAAAAAATATTACAATCGATGAGGTTTCTAACAAAATTTTGAGTTATAACGAATTTTATCAAACAATTCACAAAATTATGACAACAGACAAAAATTGAAAAATTTATGCAGGCCGCACCGTTTGCATTACAACTTTGCAATTTAAATATATAACACTTCAAAGTGTCTATTATAATCGCAAATACTAAAATCGATGTAGTTTCTAAAAAAAGTTTCAAATATTTTGACTTTTATTGAACTTTGCACTTGACGTCTATCACCATACTGATATAGCACTGCAATACTAGCTATGGTACCATTATGGTAGAAAATAGTGGTATATTCAAGAAGCTCTACAGGACGTACTTTTAGTACTACGATCTTGAAATCCTAATACAATGCACTTCAATATATCTATTATAATCACAAATACTAAAATCGATGGGTTTTCTAACAAAATTTTGAGTAATTGAGACTTTTACTGAACCTTGCATTTGACTAAATTGAATATACTGACATAGTACCATTAAGCTAGAAAATAGTGCTAAATTCAAGGAGCTCTACAAGACCTACTTTTAGTACTACATACTTGTAACTCTAATATAATACACTTCAATATGTCTGTTATGATGACAAATACTAAAATCGACGGGTTTTCTAACAAAATTTTGAGTAATCGAGACTTTCATTGAACATTGCACTTGCACCTCCGAGTCCTATCCTAACATACACGTGACGTTATTGTTACGTTATTTTTACATTCAAACATTTACTAAGTCCCTAAATCCTTTACCCAGGTGACTGCAGAAGCAGCAGGAACTCTATACAACAAAAATGGGCACAAATTGGACGGGAATGCCAACTGGGCTCGTACTTACAAACAACCAGGAGTCGGAACTGGACCAGTAACTGTCGGAGGAGGACTTCAATATTCTCGTGAGGGCAAAGGACATGTTGGCGTCAATGCTCAACATACCCGAGGATTTGGCACTGATGTAAGGAGACATTAAATATATATTTTTAGGGAAAATATTTAAATATATTTTCATTATCCAGGTTGGTGCAAATGCTGGTGTCAATTTATTTAGAGCCAACAATGGTCGTACAAGTTTGGACGCTGACGCCTTCGCCAGTAAACACTTTGGAGGCGCTTTTGGAACTGGAAGAACTAATTATGGAGGAGCAGTGAATTTTAGACACAGATTTTAGAAGGAACGAATTTTATTTCTATTTTTACTGTTATTTTTACTTATACTTATACTGCTATTTTTACTTTTACTTCTACTATTAACTAGTCGAGCAACAGCTTTAATATTTTATAAGTTTGTATTAGTATTTGTATACTTTTTGATTTAAAATTTTAACCGTTTTATTGTAATTGTAATTTAATAACTAAAATAAAATTTATTAGATGTATTTTATATATAAAATTTTGTTTGATTAATTATAATTTATACTTCTCTGTCAAATGTGGAGTAGATTCTACGACAGTGTTTTAAAATTGGGTATAACACAAAATTTCGTTAGAAAACCCATTAATTTTACTATTTGGTGTTATAATAGATATTTTAAAGTATATCATATTAGAATTATAAATATGTAGTACTAAAAGTACGTCCTTTAGAGCTCCTTGAATTAAGCACTATTTTCTAGCATAATAGTCAGTATGTGACTAAATTGATTTTAGTGAAGTGCAAGGTTTTGTAAAATCGTCGATATCTCGAAATTTTGTTAGCAAACCCATCGATTTTACTATTTGTCTCTATAATAGACATCTTGAAGTATATCATATTAGAATTATAAGATTGTAGTTCTAAAAGTACGTCCTGTAGAGCTCCTTGAATATATCGCCATCATGATATTAGTATCCTGGTATATTGGTAACCGTTTAGTGCAGAGTTAGATAAAAGCCATTATAATTCAAAATTTTGTTAAAAACCTATTAATTTTAGAATTTGTCATCAAAATAGATATATTGAAGTATATCATATTAGAATTATAAGATTGTAGTCCTAAAAGGACGTCCTGTAAAGTTCCTTGAATATACCACTACTTTCTTGCATAATGGTACTATATTAGTATACTAATATAGTACCATTATGCAAGAAAGTAGTGGTATATTCAAGGAACTTTACAGGACGTCCTTTTAGGACTACAATGACAATGATTGACTAAAATCAATATATTGACTTATAAGTCAATATATTGATTTTAGTCAAGTGCAAGGTTTCGTAAAATCGTCGATATCTCGAAATTTTGTTAGCAAACCCATCGATTTTAATATCTGTTATTTTAATAGATATATTGAAGTATATCATATTAGAATTATAAGACTGTAGTACTAAAAGTACGCTATGTAGAGCTCCTTGAATTAAGCACTATTTTCTAGCATAATGGTACTTATATCAGTATGCGAGTAAATTGATTTTAGTCAAGTGCAAGTTCAATGAAAGTCTCAATTACTCAAAACTTTATTAGAAAACTCATCGATTTTAGTATTTATCATTATAATTGACATATTGAAGTATATCATATTCGATTTTCAAGGTCGTAATACAAACGGTACGACCTGTAAAACTCCTTGAATACCCCTCTATTTTCTTGCATAATGATATATCATTCTATGAGTAAATTAATTTTAGTCAAGTGCCAAGGTTCAATGAAAGTCTCAATTACTCAAAATTTTGTGAGATGACCTATCGATTTTAGTATTTGTCATTATAATAGACATATTGAAGTATATCATATTAGAATTATAAGTATGTAGTACTAAAAGTACGTCCTGTAGAGCTCCTTAAATATACCATTTATCGTCATCATCATATTAGTATCCTGGTATATTGGTAGATGTTTAGTGCAGAGTTAGATAAAAGCCACTATAATTCAAAACTTTGTTAAAAACCCCATCGATTTTAGTATTTGTTATTATAATAGACATATTGGAGTATATCATATTATAATTATAAAACTATAGTACTAAAAGTACGTCCTGTAGAGCTCCTTGAATATACCACTACTTTCTCACATAATGGTATTATATCAGTAAGCGAGTAAATTGATTTTGGTTAAGTGCAAGGTTCAATGAGAGTCTCAATTATTCAAAACATTGTCAGAAAACCCATCAATTTTAGTATTTATTATTATAATAGACACATTGAGGTATCACATACTTAAATTACAATATTGAAGTACAAACAGTACGTCCTGCAGAGCTCTTTGAATTTACCACTAATTTCCAACATCATAGGACTCTATCTGATCACTTTATTAGGCGTCCAGTGCAAAGTTTAATAAAAGTCTTTACAACTCAAAATTTTGTTAGAAAACCCTTTAATTTTAGTGTTTGTTGTCAAAATAGATATATTGAAATATATCATATTCGAATTACAAGGTCGTGATACAAACAATACGTCCTGCAGAGCTCCTTGAGTATACCATTTATCACCATCATCATGCTAGGATGCTAGGATATAGATCGACAGGAGAGCGTAGATAAAAGCCTCTATAATATAAAATTTTGTTAGAAAACCTATCAATTTTAGTATTTGTTGTTATAATAGACACATTGAAATATAACATTTTTAAAATACAAAGTTGTAGTACAAACGGTGCGTTCAACAGAATTTTTTAAAAATGTACTTTCCTGCCTTCACACATACTTTTGTAGTAAGCAAGTTAACTTTGATAAAATTATTTATACCTAAAAATTTTGTTAGAAACTACATCGATTTTGGTATTTGTAGCAGTAATAGACATATTGAAGTATATCATATTAAAACTTCAAGGTGGTAAAGCAAACGGTACGTCCTGCAGAGCTTCTTGAATTTACTACTAATTTCCAGCTACAATACTGTATCAGTGTATTGATAAACGTTAATAAAAGCCTTTATAACTCAAAATTTTGTTAGAAAACCCATCAATTTTAGTATTTATTGTGCTAACACACTCTTCGAGGTATCATATTCTCAAATTACAAGCTTTTAATACAAACGGTCCGTTTTACAGATTTTTTTAAAAATGTACTTTCCTGCTAATACTTTTCTCGAATTTCATCAAGGTACGGGAAGTTCTAGCAATTTGCCTTAAGGCACGATGCCATACATCAGCAATTAAAATTAATTTCAGAACAAATCATTCATCAGACAATTGTCTATTAAAACAAAACATGACACGCGTCATCAAAAAATGTCATCTAAATTTATTGTAAAAAAATAATTAAATTGTGAAAAAATAGAATAGATTTAAATTCTGAAAAAAGTAATGTAAATAATCGTCGTGAAGATGTTGAAGAAGCACGAAATAATGGCGATGACCGGGATCGAGGACGCCCTGGACAAGATGTGCCAGGCGAGGGCGGTCAGGTTCAGGTTAGGAGACTTCGAGGCCACGTTCGCCTACGCCCCGTCGATGATAGGTGAGAGAAAATAATAACAGCAACTGTAATCAGTAGGTACCTACTGTAGGAAACACCAAAGAACGCTCCGATAGATTCCGATTAGATAAAGATGAAAATCCCTCGTCCAACTAATCTTAGATTATTATTAAGAGACAAACGAATTTACAATGCCCTGTATACATTCATTAGAAACAATAACATAAGTATTTAAAATATAAAGTAAGTGTAATCAGTAGATACCTATGAAACACCAAAGAGCGTTCCGATAGATTCCGATTAGATAAAGATAAAAATTTCTCGTCCAACTAATCAACAAATTTACAATGCCCTGTATACATTCATTAGAAACAATAACATAAGTATTTGAAATATAAAAGTAACTGTAATCAGTAGATACCTAAGAAACACCAAAGAACGTTCCGATAGATTCCTATTAGATAAAGATAAAAATCCCTCACACAACTAATCTTAGATTATTATTAAGAGACAAACAAATTTACAATGCCCTGTATACATTCATTAGAAACAATAGCATGAGTATTTAAAATATAAAGTAACTGTAATCAGTAGGTACCTAAGAAACACCAAAGAACGTTCCGATAGATTCCGATTAGATAAAGATGAAAATCCCTGTTGCAACTATCTTATATTACTATTAAGAGACAAACAAATTTACAATGCCCTGTAGAAATAGAAACAATAACATAAGTATTTAAAATATAAGGTTGTCAAATATCTCCCTTCCGCCTTTTTGTATTATAAACCAAGAGCAAAAAAGCGGAAGGGAGATATTTGACAACATAATATAAAGTAACTGTAATCAGTAGATACCTAAGAAACACCAAAGAACGTTCCGATAGATTCCGATTAGATAAAGATGAAAATTCGTGTTCCAACTAATTTTAAATTATTAAAGAAAAACACAATACCATCAAAATTTAAAATATATTTTATAAAGTACGTGTCAATGTTAGAAATTTCGGAGGCGTCCATTAATCACGTGATCGATTTTTTAAGGATTTTTGCCCCCCCCTCCCGCTTAGTGATACGTTGTGATATTTGAAATTATCTCCCTTCCACGCTAAGCATTCTCATATTTACGAAAAAATCGTTACTTTTTTTTATTTTTTTTCGAAAATCTAGGTAAAAAATAAATACACCTGATATCTTACTAAACCTCTCCCTTTTTTGTCAACCCCCCTTCCCCTAAAATAAGACTCCCCCCTTTTGTCAACTCCCCCCTCTTCCTTAAATACCGCAGAACACTATTCCTATTTTTTATAAATAAACCACTTTTCACAGGCCTATAATATTTTAAGATGTTCGATTTGACCATGAACTCTTCCTTAAATACCGCAGAAAACTCCTCCTATTTTTTATAAATAAACCACTTTTCATAGGCTTATAATATTTTAAGATGTTCAATTTGACCATGAACTCTATAATTGCATAAAATTTATTTAACTACAAAGAAACAAGCTGGTTGATTTTTAAGAAAAACTAGTCAGCACTATTTACAAATGATGAATGAATTTTCAAAATCGGTCCAGAATTTGTAGACAAAAGGTTTTGCTTTTAAATTTTTAAAATCGGTACAGCCGTTTTTGAGAAAACGTCGACAAAAGGTCAAAAATTTACTCTACACATTATAGCTTTTCCCACTTTGATCTCAAACGATTGAGAATCACTTGAAATGAGGAGAAAACATAAAAGTAACAAGTCGGATTGTCTGGAGAAAACATAAACTTCTCTTTCGAGAAGCTAAAAAATAGCTATAATAATAATAATCATAATTAGTACCAAATGTCCTACG